GAACAGCAGTGGTTGCTTCTGTGGAAAAAAAATTGCTAACACTTTCACCAACTTTAGCATACTATGTTACATAAACATCCTTAATTTAAAAATAAATTCTCTCATTTTAATTGTGGGATCAGTTACCAAATGGCGGTAAAACTGGCACCTATCATTTAATGCCATAAAGGTATTTTTAAGAAAAGATATAGGACAACAAGAATGGTAAAACAGAAAATATCGACAAAATTTTAGAATCTGGAAAGATGAATGGTAACAACAGATGGAAAATAACAAATGTAGTGAAGATATGGATAAACTGGAACCCTCATAACCTGCTGATGGAAATGTAAAATGGTACAGCCTTTTGGAAAATATTTTGGCAGTTCTTCAAAAACTTAAGTTACCACGTGACCCAGTAACTGCACTCTTAGGTATTTGCCTAGGAGAATTAAAAACCTGTGTCCACACAAAAATGAATTTCACAGCGGCATTATTCATGATACTCAAAAAGTGGTAAAAACTCAAATGTCCACTAACCAATGAACAGATAAACAATATGTGGCATATCTATACAACAAAATATTATTCAGCAATAAAAACAAAATACTGATACATCCTACAACATGGATGAACCTCAAAAACACTTTGTTAATGACATACACTGTATGATTCTATTTATACAAAATGTCCAGAAAGGCAAATCCATAAAGACAGAAAGCAGATTAATGGTTGCCTAAGGACTGGGGGGATAGAAAGAAAGAGGGTTCGAGATTTCTTTTTGGGGAGATAAAAATGTTCTAAAATTAGATTATGGTGATGGTCTGCATAACTTCGTAAAGATATTAAAACCACTGACTTATACACTTTAAATGGTTTGTAAATCATATCTCAATAAAGCTGTTTTTTAAGAAAAGTGACTTGCTCCAGGTAACTGTACCTGACTTTTTGGCAGATGGTGGTAAACCACTGCTTCCACCTCCAGCCCCGCCTCCAGCGCTACCACCACCAACACCAGGGCCTCCTGGAGAGCCAGTCTTTTTACTCAACAAACTGTTGAAGAAATTTGCCAGGACGCCTTCACTTGTAGCTCCAGCTATAAAAAAAAACAAAAAAAAAACTTTTACTCAAAACATTAGGTTTTTCCATAAATTATTATAGTAATCACACATAGAAAACAAACAATAAAATTTACGATCTATAAATTTCAAACTTAAGTCATTTGATCTTTTGAGGCTAACTATTCTTTTCATATATACAACAAAAGGAGTAAACTTTAAAAGTATAAGATTTATCCAAAAATTAGAATGTTATTTTTAAAAGGCCAAAAGCATTTTAAACAAAAAGATATCAGATGCTAATGTATAGCTCCCCTTTGAAAGGGGTTCTTTAAAAATGGAACAGTTGAGAAATACTTGCCTGAAGTATTACAGTAAGTTACCTAATCCTACATGAAAACCAGTAAAAGTTCTGAGAGACAAATGGGCAAAGGATAGCAATAAA